ACTTTAGAGCACAACCCTCCACCTAACACAATTGAATAATGAATATTCACGATTGTCAAATCTGTCAAAGCACAGTTTGAGGACAACCCATTCCAACCTGCAAAAGATTTTTGACTTTTTTAAAGTTGTTGAGAGCTGTAAAAAGACTTACCATGCTTACATCTTCCGAGCCTTGGGAGTTAAAAATGAAGGCACTGAGTGCTATAAAAAGGGGGCTAGAGGCTGCCTAGAAGCATATCAGCCTAAAACAAGAATTTGTAGTTATGATGGGAAGCAAAGCAAAAGCAATGGGGTCTGGGCTGACTCCTCTTCTTACCACTGTTTTAGTGGTATTTGTTGCTCTTGGCTTGCCCTCAGAAACTGCAGCTGATGATCACTACAAGTATTCATCTCCTCCTCCTCCTTACCACTATCCCTCACCACCACCTCCAGTGCATTTACCTCCACCAGTGTACAAATACAAGTCCCCACCACCACCTCATCATGTTTACAAGTACAAATCTCCACCACCCCCACCACCACACCCAGTTTACAAGTATAAGTCGCCACCACCACCTCCTCATCCGGTATACAAGTACAAGTCTCCTCCGCCACCTCCTCATCCGGTACCACACCCAGTTTACAAGTATAAGTCACCACCACCACCTCCTCATCCGGTACCACACCCAGTTTACAAGTATAAGTCTCCTCCGCCACCAGTTTACAAATATAAGTCTCCTCCACCACCACCTCCAGTGTACAAATACAAGTCTCCACCACCACCAGTTTACCACTACAAGTCTCCACCACCTCCTCCCCCAGTTTACAAATACAAGTCTCCACCACCACCACCACCAGTTTACCACTACAAGTCACCACCACCTCCTCCCCCAGTTTACAAATACAAGTCTCCACCACCTCCTCACCACTACTAAGCAATTGCTTCTGAGGTAATAACACTTGTTCAATATACCCACTTCTGCATGATAAAGCATATCTCTATCAACACAAACTGTCATGTCTATCATGCTAAGTGCCTTCACTTCATCCACCAAAATGACTGCTAGAAAATTTTTTTTATGTTACCAAAGAAAGGCATCATTTTTTCCCTCTGTTATCAAGAACTTGTACAGTATATAGATTAAAGAGTATTTTTTTAACTAGCTTATCAACTGAGAAATGCATATAGCTGATAGCCAGCTGAATATTTGCAGGCAAAGGAGAAGGAAACCAGTGTTTGAGACCTTCTTGAAGATGTAGAAGCATAAGAATTAAAGCCCAATGTGAAGATGATGATTTCAAGTTTTTCTACGTTACCATTTCTTTATCTAAATTGGTTGTAGCGCCTTAGTTCCTTTGTTTATGGGATTTGTATCGTTTTACGTACCATGCAGTACATGTCATGTTTGTAAGGTTTTCTATCCTGCCGGCAAACCGCAGGTTCCATGTAATAAATCAATACTATTTATATTACGACACTTTTCTCTGTTTCTCTTATATTTTGTCGTCTTTAATATTCTTAATCATATTTTTAACAAAAATATTCAAACACTTAGGCAATCTGGTCTAATGCTAATTGTATGTTTTACTTTTCTTTTTCACCTGCTCCCCTTTTCAACTCAAAAGGATGCAATAGTTTGTGATCACTGTTGAAGACGGAAGCATGATACTAATGAATATATCATTGAAACTCAAGGAAACTAACATTATGAAAAGTGTAAATCTTGATTTGATGCAACTATTTATTCGTGGAATCTATAGTTACAAAACTCAAACTCTGACTGCGCCATTGATAAATTATTAATGACGCTATCATCATTATTTATCCCCAACTAGTTTCGACTACAACTGAACCCAATATTTTCCCCATGATAAAAGTTTTTTACTATTTTACTGGCCTCTCTTCAAATTTTAAAAATTACACTAATCTTCATTGAGATTAATTATCTTGTAGCATTTAAGTCCAATTAATAATTAAAAAATAATATTATGAGAGAGAAAATAATATAATTTTATCATTGCCCCCCATCTTGCTATATTATTTAATTAATTTAATAGCAACCCACACATTAAAGAAAAATACTAAAATTTGCTGCTTTTCATTAAAGATCAAATTGCATATGCCATAAAACATAGTATATCATTCTATATGTTTCACTTAATGTAAGATCCCAATTGTTCTTTTCAATTACAAACCCATTGTCAAACATGATCAATAACAAATAACCAAAAAATTTGCAACCAAAATATTACAAAAAAAAACTTTAACATCATAAATATTCTTACCACCTCTAGTGCATTCACCCTCATAAAATAATTCAAGACCCTACTGTCATAAAATGACTGATCAACTCCTGTAAACCTAATTTGACAACATTTAAATGGAGAACTTTAGCTAAAAGAATTATGGTCAAGCTAAAGAAAAAACCAGTTATTTTCCAACATATGCAATCATTGATCAGGGAAAAAAAAAAGAAGCAAAAAGACATCTTCAATCATTTAATAGCTTACAGGGCAAATTAACCCCTAAGCGAAAACTGGTTGCTCTAGAATCAAAATTTTACTTTAGTTACCCAGGCAACTTTTTTTGTTGCCTTTTCTTTTTCTTTTTTGGGTATATATATAGCTCCAGTTTTGCCCCCTCTGTCAAGCTTATATAATTATTAAGATAATAAAAGTGCCTTTAATAGTATTAATATATCCATTGACTTGAGCTGTCATCGATCGGTTTGGGCTACTTCGATTCCATGAGAACAAATGGTAATAAAAGTACTCAGAAAATGGGGAGTCATGAAACCCTTTTGTTCTATTCATTGCTAAGATGCTTTTCTCTATAAAGACACTTCCTAACGAAAATACTTTGTAGATTTCTTTACTCCAAGTGGTGCATGGAAAATTAATATTTTCAATTATCAAATAAAATTCCCTTTTTTCGGTGTAGATTTCATCCATTCAGCTGTTAACACTCCGAATTGACTAATCTTTTCGTTTCCATTTTCCAACTTGCGAATACGGCATCTTACATATTGTCTGCTGAATATGAATACATATCCCTTTTCTGAGCAGGTGCAGAGTCATTATCATTTTTATTCCCACCTAACAAATTAGTTAATAATCTTTTAAAGAACATGTTAAATTAATTTATTGGTATGAATAGTAGTCAAAGAAGTATGTTAAAGTTAGTAATCTTTAAAATAATATGTTAAAATTATTCGTACAAATTAGCCAGAGAAGTAGCATAAACACCGCGATGCAATTAATACTTTCAATCTCAAGGTCTCTATTATGGAAATTTGCATCGGTCAACATACACAAAGCATTATTGTATGCACGTCTCTCTATTATGGAAATTTGCATAGGTCAATATACACTTGGCATAGTTGCATGCACGTCCAATTTTTTTTTATTTTTATTTTTGGTATTTTACTTCCTGCCTTAAGTTGCCTGCAGATGTTTGTATTACAAATATATGGTATACTAAATATATAGTATGCACATTAATTTCTTTGGGTTGCTTAAGGGTATATTGTTAATAATAGGGGGTTTAACCATAAATTATAACAATGATGAAGTAATATATATTAGAAAATTAACACAATTATGATTTTTTTTTTTGTAAAATTCAAATTTTATTAATAAGAAATGAAATAGGCAGTAAGCATTTACAAACCGAAAACAAAATCCTACAACAACTCTAGGACTCTACACCTTATTAAAAAAAAACATTTTGATAGCGTTTTTCCAAAAGCAGAAGATGGAAAATTGCCCATTTGTACTGGGGAGTTCGTGATCTTTTCCTCATTCTAGTCTACTTACAATTCTTGGAAAAAGGAATACTCACATCTCAAACAACAGCCTGTTCATCTGCAGTGTCCTGCCGAATTCTAGAAAGTTTGGTGGCAATGTTAATTACATTTCAAAATTGACTGCTGCGATAACTAATTCGATGGCTTACTACATGGTCAACGTTTGGATCTCTTCCTGTCCTTTTTGGATGCACATTTTTTTTCTCTAGGTAATATATAATCTCCCAACTCATTTCTTTACAAATGCACCTTTAATCACCACCAAAAGGTGTGGACATGATCTTTACCCTAGAAAACTATTCACCGACAGGCAAATTGACGTCAGAAATACTAAGAGGAATTCTAGTTTCCTTCGGGTTAATGCCATTTTGTACCCTTCAACTGTAACTCAATTTCTAAGCTGTAATTTGTGACATTATAGTCCTTAAACTATGAAACCCTTTCTTATTTAATTACAATGGTTAATACAATGCCCGTGACTAGACAAGTATGAAGCAACCATAACAAAAAAAAAATCCAAAATTAGAGAAAAGAAAGAAGTTGCGACCAAAGTATGTATCAAGGCATAGTATAGAAATAAAAGTGTCAAAATTAAGAGTTTAGGGATAAAAAAGAATCAAAATATAGTTTAGGAATTGATTTGTCTCAATTAGAGTTTAGATGTCAACTAAGAAGAGAGATATAGTTGAAGGGTAGAATATAGATATAACAGTTCAATGATTGATATCAACGAGACAATGACAACTTTGGATTATTACCAACCTCTTCTTGATGGAAAAGGAAATAGAGAAGAAAGTCGGGCCTGGTCTAAGCCTGTTTCGGAGGCAAAACAACATTATGAAATCACCGGCATTCACACAAATATGTCAAAGTCACCGGCATGCTAAGTTGCAAAATTTATACAAACACTGAATATTATATTCTTCTCAAAATTTTTGTTTAAGATTTAACAATTAGAGCACGGTACACGAATTAGCAATATTAAATAATGAATGTTCACGATTGATAAAGTTATCAAAGTACAGTTTGAGGACAACCCATTCCAACGTGTACAAGATGTTTAGCCTTTGAAAAGTTAATTAGAGAAGGTGACGAGATTTTACTAGGCTTACAACTTCTAGGCCTTGGGAGTAAAAAGTGAAGACACTGAGTGCTATAAAAAGGGGGCTAGATGTTGCCTAGAAGCATATCAGCCTCGGACCACATTTTGTAGCAATGGGGAGCAAAGCAAAAGCAATGGGGTCTAGGCTGACTCCTCTTTTTACCACCGTTTTAGTGGTATTTGTTGCACTTGGCTTGCCTTCAGAAACTGCAGCTGATTACGACAAGTATTCACCTCCTCCTCCTCCTTACCATTATTACTCACCACCACCTCTTGTGCATTCACCTCCACCACCGCCAGTTTATAAGTCACCCCCACCACCTTATCACTACTTCTCACCACCACCTCCAGTGTATCCATCTCCACCACCATCTGTTTACAAGTCACCTCCACCACCTTCGCCAGTATACAAGTCCCCACCACCACCTTATCAATATTCCTCACCACCACCTCCAGTGCATTCACCTCCACCACCACCGATTTATAAGTCACCTCCACCACCTCCTCCAGTTTACAAGTCCCCGCCACCACCTTACCATTATTCCGCACCATCACCTCCAGTGCATTCACCTCCACCACCACCGATTTACAAGTCACCTCCACCACCTCCTCCAGTTTACAAGTCTCCATCACCACCTTACCATTATTCCTCACCACCACCTCCAGTGCATTCACCCCTACCACCACCGGTTTACAAGTCTCTGCCACCACCTTACCATTATTCCTCACCACCACCTCCTATGCATGCACCTCCACCACCAATATACAAGTCACCTCCACCACCTCCTCCAGTTTACAAGTCTCCACCACCACCTTACCATTATTCCTCACCACCACCTCCAGTGCATTCACCCCTACCACCACCAGTTTACAAGTCTCCGCCACCACCTTACCATTATTCCTCACCACCACCTCCTGTGCATGCACTGCCACCACCAATTTACAAGTCACCTCCACCACCTCCTCCAGTTTACAAGTCCCCACCACCACCTTACCATTATTCCTCACCACTACCTCCAGTGCATTCACCTCCACCACCACCGATTTACAAGTCACCTTCACCACCTCCTCCAGTTTACAAGTCTTCACCACCACCTTACCATTATTCCTCACCACCACCACTCTTCAATTTGGATGTAATTCAATTTTCCTTGTAATCGGTGGCCCTCCTTCGGAATCCAAATAGTCATTGAGTGCAGCCTTCTTTCTTTATTTTTTACTCATTTTCACCTCATAAATTGCTTTCATCCCCTAAAACTTGTTCGCTGGAATTTTGAATTTACCCATACAACTAAACTCAGAAAATTCTTACACAAAGGGATTAGTAGCATGAATAGCAAACACAGAATAAGAGATAACAGTATGTTTTATTGTATTAAAAATATTAAAGTGGATTATTTCTCCATCGAATTCCATTGTGAGAGTATCGTTACTAACATCAATCTTAGTTTGAGCAGTACTCAAGAATGACCTTCCTAATATAATGGGTGATGGATTTGGGACACTTTCATCATCCATATAAAACACATAAAAATCAACAGAAAAAATTAATCCATCTACTTGAACTAAAAACATCCTCAACTACCCCATTTAGATAAGCAAATATACGATCAGCCAATTGAATTATTATCCCTATTTCTTTTAAATGTTCTAAATTTAGGGAATCATAAATTGATTTAGACATCACATTAATAGAAATCTTTAAATCTATCATGGCATTTTTTATATTAGAATGTCCAATCTTACATGAGATAGTAAACATACCTAGATTCTCGCATTTAGGTGGTAGTTTCCTTTGTAAAATTGCTGAAACGTTCTCATCTACCACAATATGCTTGTCCTCCTCAATTTCTTCTTGTTGACACACAAGTTTTTCAAGCATTTAACGTATTTTGGAACTTATTTGATTTGCGTCCAACAAAGGGATATTGATTGCCACCTTGCGAAAATCTCTAAAATCTCCTTTTCTTTATCTTGTTTCTTTGATTTCTCTAACCTGCTTGGAAAAGGTGGTGAGTTAGTTCCAACTCTAATTATAGAATCAACAATTACCTTTGGATTCACATTTCTCATTCCTTCCTCCTCAAGCTCTTTGTCGATTCGATCTTCATTTTTATCCTTTGGAATCACAACTTCGGATCCCTGAATTTTCTTCTCGCTCCTTAAGGTCATTACACTTACATTCTTCAGGTTCAGTTCAGGTTGAGACGACAATTTTTCATAGATTTGGGATTCCAGGCGGTTGATTGCTATTACCATCTGACTCATCTGACTCTGCAGTGCTTGCACCTGTCCCAATTGATTCCTCATACTTTGCAAGTCAAAATCCATCTTTTGTTGATTAGCAATTAATTGCTTCATTATCTCTTCTATAGATGGACTTGAGTTTGAAAGAGGTGGTGGCGGGCGAGACTGATACTGTTATTGATACCCTTGCTATCTATTTGGTGCAAAATCTGGCTACCTATTTCCTCCATAGCTGAGGTTGGGATGATCTCTCCAACCAATATTGTACGTATTCGTGTACGAGTCGTATGGTTTTCTTGGCACGGCGCGTGACCAGCCATGTTCACTTGCTCCGTACTTTTCTCTTGAATCATTGAGCACATCTCTGTAGAATGACCCATAGCAGTGCAGATCCCACACATCTTGACTCGTGATGCATTTCCTATAGCTAATTGCCTAACAAAGGATGTTAATTCGGTCAACTGCTGTTGGATAGAATATGTTTCTACCTCATTTACTTTGCGTGTTGGGGCATCCTCCCTCGTACCAAACTGTTGCGAATTTTCCGCCATTCCTTCAACTAGCTCCCACGCTTCTCGAGAAGTCTTGTTCACCAATGCCCTTCTACTTGCAGCATCAATTATACTCCTGTCTCTAAAACGCAGCCCCTCGCAAAAATATTGGATGAGCAATTGCTCACTTATTTGGTGTTGAGGGAACTTGATGCATAACTTCTTGAATCGCTCCCAATAATCATAAAGCGACTCTCCTGGATGCTACTTGATACCGTATATCTCCTTCCTTAGACTTGCAGCTCGAGATGCAAGAAAATATTTGTCCAAGAACTTTTTCTTCAGCTGATCCCACGTGGTGATGCTACCTGGTGGTAGATAGCACAGCCAGTCTTTTGCGGAGTCCTTCAAGGAGAAGGGAAATGCCCTCATTTTTATCTATTTTTCTGTAATTCTCGGAGGTTTTATGCTGTTGCAAACGACATCAAACTCTTGCAAGTGCTTATACGGTTCCTCACCTGGTAAACCATAGAAAGATGGCAAGAGATGAATTAGACCAGATTTTAACTCAAATGAAGTGTTATCATTTAAAAATAGAAAAGTAACTGAGATGCAGCACTGGAATGTTCTTCTCGAAATTGTCTGGTCTCTTTCTTTGTTCTACGCGTAGTCTTCTCTACCTTAGGATCAAAAATTAATTTACCTGTACGAGAAGAACGAGGCATACACTAGAAAAACACTAGAAAATTAGAACAAAAATGAACATAAAAAGAAACAAATAAACCAACGTCAGTCCCCAGCAACGGCGCTAAAAATTGACAAGTTGTCGATGCCTGTGCAATAATAAAAATAAACCTAGTTACCAATTAAAATAATCAGAGCCTAATTCTGAGTACTAGAGCAGGGACTATAGGTGTGCAATGGGTTACTTGATTCACCCTATTCCTGAAGTTTGCTTAACCCGATATACCAGAATGAGATTGCTTATTCAAAAGGAATTATTGATTTGTAAACAGGGCAAGTAGGGTCGTATCATCAGGGATTGAAAAAATTTGTTTCTTTTCAAATCCACAGTAACAAGGGGATGTTTTTGTATAAATGATAACAATCTAAGGAGTGCAAATAGAAATAAATAGATAACTAGAAATTAAATGACAATTCACTAAAATTAGAGTAATAATAATTAAAGGTCTAGCTAAGAAATAACTTCAGCAATGGTTCACCTAATTGATCATCGACGCAAAGGCAATTCCAATTATTTACTAATAAATAGGTTATAACTGCAAAACAAGCAATGACAGTCAACCCCTCCTTACTGTCGGTCGGTGATTAAGGTACGCCCAATCACTGCTCTAGTTGAGAAATAATTTTAGGGACGCTCGTAAGATTTAATTTTCCAATTGCCTTACGTATTAGAGGAGCCATAATCTAACCAAATAACGCTACCAGGATTATTTTAAATTAACCCGTGTATTCCCTTGATACAAATTCAATCATGTCAGTTGTCACTATTTCAAGGTAATGAAACAATTACGGATTTAATATCCTAATTGACAATAGGTTACTAAATCAATTCACTATTTCGATCCAAGATAATCAATCAATTTAACAACTAATAGCACTGCAATCGGAGAATATGTAAATACCAATAAATAAGAGGAAAAGATAAAATTAAATCGATCTCACAATTTTTAAACAAATCAAAGTATCCGTTGTTTCTTGACTAGAAAAGAAAATTTAGTTCATTCCTAATGTGAAAGACCCACGTGAGAATTCAAAAATAATATTCACGGATATTGTCTTGATTCAATAGATTCAATTGCGTTGGAATAAGGATAAAAAGCCAAACTATAGAGAGTGATTCAATGTTTTGTTTCGTTTGCATTTTTTCTACACATATGGAAGAAGAAAAACAACTAAAGGACGAAAAAAAAAAGTCAAAGAAAGGCACCCAAAGTAGTGCTTGGTCTCTACCATCCTATTTCCTATCTAATTACTACTTCCCTTCTGCGGCTGCCTAGAGGAAGAAAGAGAAAGCAGACTTCAGGTCTTGTTCCATCTCCTCCCTTTTCGGCAATTCCCCAAAAGTAGAAAAGTTCCTCCGTTTACCAAAATGCCCCTGGAATGAGGACTGCTACTTGAACTCATTTTCTTGATAACTGTCAAATTAGCACTTGTTATGGTATTTGCGTCTACTTCCTGTAATAAATGTAAATTGCCAAAAGTGAGTAAACTGATAATTAATTTACATCAGGTCAGGTAATAGGAAAAATTAATTATAAAATAAATGATAAAATTGCAACCTATCACTTAGAATAACCAGAAATAAAACAAAACAAGAAATGAAAGAAATAAGAGGGTAGCATAGACATTTTGGATTTTTCTGTTAATTTGGATGATTTCCACCTACGGTCTAATTTAATCCAAAACACAAATGGATTATGTGGAGATTTTTAAACAATGAGGGAGTATCGTGACCGAATCCCAAACCACAAAGGGGATTTACTATATTTTACTCTTAAATTTTGGTTTCATCTCATAGCATACAAGAGTACTATTTCACTGTCTGTCGACCAGGGAGGAGGGTTGGGTTGGGTGGTACGGGGGAGGGAGTCTAAGTAAGAGGTCTCAGGTTCGAATCCTCCTGTTTATACTAAAAAAAAAAATTTACTATCTGTCGACAAAGATTTTCTATGGTTGATGTACCATAGGAAAAATCTGCCTATACAATTATTTGGAAAAATTATCCATCCAAACATAGTCACGATAGCATTTTTTCAAAAACACTAGATGCAAAATTGTCCCCTTAAACGTGGAAATTCATGATCTTTCCTCGACTAGTCTACTTGTCAATTTTTGAAAAAAGAATACTCACGCCAAAAACACGGCCTCTTCATCTGCAGAATTCTAAAAAGTTACGTAAACTCTATAAACAAGTTGATAGGTACAATCGTACCCAAGATCAAGTACAGATAGTTGTACATTCACTGCTGCAATAACTAATCTGATGACTTACAAACACATCATGGTCAATCGTTGAATGGTAATGAGTCTTTTGTTATGCATTAGTATTAGTGTGTACACTCTAATAGATTGATACTTATACTCTTTAAATTATCATAATAATACCCTTAATTAACTTTAACCCTTAAAAAGAATACGTGTTAATACACGAGAGTGTGTAACCTGAATTGTTACTTATACATTAGTGTGTAATAGAACGGCAAGCATTATGGTGGTCATTGAGCAACTTATAGGAGAAATAGTCCTATAAGCTGTTCAATGACCAATCACAACTTGCTAATTGGATGACTAATATAGCTCTAGCTGTAATGTTTTAATTAAATTCCACACTAACGTTGGGATGACTTTTTAATCAAAAAAAAAAAAGCCTTAGTTCAAGCTTTTCCCCTTATTGT